CTACAGATTAATTTGAAGGGAATCAACATCTTATCAGCATTCAGTCCTCCAATCCAAGAATATGGTGTATCCCTCCATTTATTTAGAGGAGCTTTTTTGATTTCTCTCTCCAGTGTCTTTTAGGTTTTAGTGGACAAATCTTTCATACATTTTATTAAAATCATTTCTAAGTATTTCATGTTTTTCTGATTCTATTGTAAGTAGTATTGTACTTTTATAAAAATTTAAATTTCCAATTTTTCATTGGCAGTACACAGAAATAAAACTGATTTTTATGTATAGACCTTGTATCCTGTGACACTGCTAGAAACTGTTAGTTTTAGTAGCTTTGTTGGTAGATTTCTTAGGTTTTCTATGTACTCTATCATGCTATCTGTGAATAAAGACAAATATACTTCTTCCTTTCATTTATTTTTCTTGTCTTATTTTTAGGTAGGATCTCTAGCACAATGTTATAGGAATGATAAAAGCAGACATCCTTGGGGCCGGCCTCATGGCGTAGCGGTTAAGTGCGCATGCTCTGCTGCTAGCGGCCCAGGTTCAGATGCTGGGTGTGCACTGGTACACTGCTTGTCGGGCCATGCTGTGGCAGCATCCCATATAAAGTGGAGGAAGATGGGCACAGATGTTAGCCCAGGGCCAGTCTTCCTCAGCAAAAAGAGGAGGATTGGCATGGATGTTAGCTCAGGGCTGATCTTCCTCACACACACACACACAAAAAGCAGCAGACATCATTGCCTTGATCCTGATTTTTAGGAGAAAAGCATTCAGTCTGTCACCATTAAGTATAATGTTAATTGTGGATTTTTCTCAGAGGTTATTTATCACTTTGAGGAAATTTCCTTCAATTCCTAGTGTGTTGAAAGTTTTTTTTTTTTTTTTGTGAGGAAGATCAGCCCTGAGCTAACATCTGCTAATCCTCATCCTTTTTTTTTTTTTATTTTTGCTGAGGAAGACTGGCCCTGGGCTAACATCCGTGCTCATCTTCCTCCACTTTATATGGGACGCCATCACAGCATGGGTTGACAAGCGGTGCGTCAGTGCACGCTCGGGATCCAAACTGGTGAACCCTGGGCCGCCACAGCGGAGCACGCACTCTTAACCACTTGTGCCACCGGGCTGGCCCCTTGAAAGTTTTTTTTTTAATAACAGTTGTTGAATTTTGTCAAATGCTGTTTCTGCATCTATTGAAAAAAATAATATGGTTTCTTTCTTTTATTTTCTTAATATGGTAAATTTATTTTCAAATATTAAGCCAACCTTGCATTCCTAGGATAAATCCTACTTAGTCATGGTGTATCAACTTTTTATATATTGCTAGATTCCATTTGCTAATATTTTTTTGTTTCTATGTTCATGTGGAATACTAATCTGTAAATTTCTTTTCTTGTAATGTCTTTGTTTTTAGTATCAGGGTAATACCGGCCTCATAAAATGAGTTAGGGAGTATTCTCTCTTCTAAGTACATATAGGAAGGGTATTATTTTCTTCCTTAATGCTTGAAATTCAGTTTCTTTAACAGCTATAAAACTATTAAGATTTCTATTTTTTCTTGAGTCAGTTTTAGCAATTTCTGTCTTTCCTGGAATTTGTCCATTTCCTCTAATTTGACAAAGTCATTGGCAAAAAGTTGTTCTTAACATTTCCTTATTATTCTGTTACTGACTGGAGGATCTGTAGTGACTTTCTCTTTCATTTCTAATACATATATATTTTGTGTCTTCTCTTTTTTTCTGGATAGACGTTAATCTAGGTTTTGATTGTACTGATTTTCTCCACTGTTTTTCTGTTTTCTATTTCATTGATCTCTATTTCTTTTTTTTTTTTTTTTTTGGTGAGGAAAATCATCACTGAGCTAACATCTGTGCCAATCTTCCTCTACTTTGTATGTGGGATGCTGTCACAGCACGGCTTGATGAGTGGTGTGTAGGTCCACACATGGAATTCGAACCCACGAACCCTGGGCCGCTAAAGTGGAGCGCGTGAACCTAACCACTATGCCACCAGGCTGGACCCTGAAAAGTTTTGTCTTTCAGAACTTTGAATATATCATTCCACTCTCTCCTAGCCTGTAAGGTTTCGGCTCAGAAATCCGCTGAAAGCCTCATAGGGGTTCCTTTGTAGGTTATTTTTTCCTGCCTTGCCGCCCTTAATATTTTTTCTTTGTCATTGACTTTTGCCAGTTTTACTAATATATGCCTTGGAGAAGGTCTTTTTACATTGATGTAGTTAAGAGTTCTATTAGCTTCATTTACATGTAATTCCAGTTCCTTACCCAGGTTTTGGAAGTTCTCAGCTATTATTTCTTTGAACAAGCTCTCTGCTCCTTTCTCTCTCTCTTCTCCCTCTGGAATACCCATAAACCTTACGTTGCATTTCCGAAATGAGTTGGCTATTTCTTGGAGAATTTCTTCATTTCTTTTTAGTCTTAATTCTTTCTCCTCCTCCATCTGTAGCATTTCTATATTTCTATCCTCTAAATTACTGATTCTGTCATCCATAATATCAGCTTTGTTATTTAAGGATTCCAGATTTTTCTTTATCTCGTGTTTTCCATCTCCAACATTTCTGACTGTTGTTTTTCATAGTTTCAATCTCTTTTGTGAAGAATTTCCTCTGTTCATTAATTTTATTCCTGATTTCATTGAACTATCTTTCTGAGTTTTCTTGTGGCTCATTAAGTTTCTTTATAATAGCTATTTTGAATTCTCTGTCATTTAGATTGTAAATTTTTGTGACTTCAGGATTGATTTCTGGGTACTTGTCATTTTCCTTCTGGTCTGGAGTGTTAATATACCTCATTATACTATTTGATGGGGTGAACTTGTGCCCTTGCATAGTGGTAGTATCTGGTCGCAGATTCCACCTGCCACTGCTGGGGGGGCAGGAGTTGTGTAATCTGAGCCCACTGTGACCCCTGGAAGCTGTGCCTGTCCATTGGAAGCTGTGCTGACAGGTCCCGTCTGTGTTCGTCCAGTGGCCACCGCTGCTTTACACATGTAGGTGTGCAAGCACTCTGGCGGGGGTCCCCTGTTGTCTGACCTGGTGCACCAGGTTGGGTGGAGAAGAGTGCTTTCTTTCGCGTGCATGGTCCTGGGTGTTCCGGTTCAGCACTCACTGTCTGCCCTCCTGAGCTGCTGGGCTTGGTGAAGACACCCCCGTGATTGCTTAGCCTCCTTGGTGTGGAGCATTCCCACAGGCTGGGAGGCAACTCTGAGAGCAAAGGTGTTCCTGCGGAGTGCTGCCCTTTACCCGCCTCCTCTCAGAGTCACGTGCTGGCCACCGTGCACGGTGCCGCGCCCTAGATCGCTGCCATTCAAGAAGGAGAGGAGATCCCCTTACCTCCTTCCACTGCTTCCCGGGTGGTCCAGCACCCCCACCTTCAGATGTATGGCTGCATGGATCTCTCAGACGTCTACTGTATTGTATGAATGTCCTCTGTTGGTTTATGAATGTCCTTTTCATTGTATCTTAGTGGGGAGAGACTAAGGGAAGACTTCAGTCCACCATGCTGCTGATGTCACCTATCTCTGGGTTCCTAGTTTTTTTAAAATAGAAGGTTTAATCTGATTTCTGTTATTCCATCATAGTTGGAAATGCAAGTCCTTTCTTATATTTTAAAAACAAATCTTGGAAAACGGTTTGGCAAGTCCTCAAAAAATTAAACATAGCATTATCATATGATCCAGGAATTCCACTCCTAAGTATACACCCAAAAGAACTGAAAGCAAGGACTTAAACAGATATTTGTATATGCATGTTCATAGCACCATTATTCACAATAGCCAAAAGTTGGAAACAAATGGCAGATGAATGGATAAACAAAAAGTAGTACATACATATGATGGAATATTATTCAGCCTTAAAAAGGAATGCAATGCTGATGCATGGTACAAGATGGATGAACCTTGAGGATATTAAGCTCTAAACACAAAGGACAAATACTGTATAATTCCACTTACATGAGGTATCAGGAATAGGCAAATCCATAGAGACAGAAAGTAGACTGGTGGATGTCAGGTGCTGGGGGGAGGATGGAGTGGGGAATTATTGTTTAATGGGTACAGAGTTTTAGTTGGAGAAGATTAAACAGTTCTGGAGATGGATGGTGGTGATGGTCGCATAACACTGTGAATGTACCTAACGCTACTGAATTGTATACTTAAAAATGATTAAAATGGTAAATTTTGTTATATATATTTTACCACAATAAAAAATCATCAAAAAAAAAAGAATCTTCCATCTATAATGAAGGATTTCCCATAAATCTTTCCAATATTCCAATAAAAATCTGACTTCAAAATTTGTGTAATACAACAAGTAAATGTAGCACTGGTTATAACTGGATCATTTTGGGATAAAGTATAGCATTGGCCTAACTGGCAAAACTCAAATCAGATCTGAGGATTAGACAGTAGTAATTTATCATTGTGAATTTCCTGATTTACAGGGTTGTATTTCATTCATGTAGGAGAATGTCACTGTTTGTAGGATATATAGGGAAAAGTCCAGGGTCATGGGGCATCAGGTTGGCAATCTACTCTCAATGGTTCAGAGAAAAGAAGACTGTAATTGAAATTTTTCTGTAAGTTTTTTATGGTTTCAAAAATTTTAAAATAAAAGTGAAAGCATTAAAAAAATTGTGTAATGTTATCACATTGATCTGGTAAGAGTAGAATAGCTAGAGAAAAATCGTAGTAAATCATGTATAAATTATGATAAAAAATTTAAAATTAAAAACCTTAAAAAAACAAAAAGATAAAAGAAATTTTTAGAAGACTGAGTTTAGATGGTGACAAATGTTTCACATAGAATATAACTGAGGTTGGATGCAGTGAAGAACAAAGTCCCTGCTCCATACCGAAACTCCCTGTACTGCTTTACTAGACAGTAACAAGGAAAAAGGACAAATAAAACTAAGTCAAAAGAGCAAGCACACACACAAACCCGCCAGCAAGTGTCTGATGAGTGAGCAGATATCAATTCTCAGTTATACTTACACAATGGTTTTTCCAATGTGCAAAAATGATTTCTCTACAAATTCCCGGACACTATGGACTTCTCCAGTAGCTATGACAAAATCCTCCGGCTCATCATTCTGTAACATCAGCCACATAGCCTAGAGAGAGAAATAAAGAGAGAGAGAGGCAAATCCAAGTTAAAGTTGCACCCAGCTGCCACTTGGGAAATATAATGTTATCAAATTCACATAATTGGATTTGGACCTTGTTAAAAGGTAAACTGAGGCACATTAATATTTTTCAAGAGTTTATTTCAGCATACATCTATTCAAATAGGGCAGCACTAAACCGAAAGTGGTTAGGAGCGCTCCATCAACAGGAGCTAGGGCAAGCTTTTTATAGAGCAGACACTGAAGCAAAGTAAAGAGATTTACTGATTGGCTATAGCCAATCTTTGGCTATATCCAGAGATTATTTGATTGGCTATAGCTTATGCGGTTGCCTTATTTAGGAAAGCTGAATTAGCTGTTTGTGATTGGTTGTTCTTAAGTGTCATTTTCTTGGATTTGAGTGCATTGACTCTGGCTTAGGTTTTGGCTCTCTTATTCAGGCTACCCAGACATTAAGAGCCACCTCAGTCTAATGGCCTTTTTGTTTAAATACTTTAAGATGTACAGCTAGAAAAGGACCACAAATTTAATACACTATTTTAACCACTACAGTAGTAGTTCTCAAACTTTAGTGTGCATCAGAATCATCTGGGGGAACATCTCAGTACAGATGCTTGGGCCATAGCTGCAGAAGTCTGGACTCAGCAGACTAGAGAACGTGTTTTAGGCATCTTTATCTTTAATACTTCAGGTGATTCTCATGCAGCAGGTCCTTGGATGGCAATTTAGAGGAACAAGATTTTGAAGAGTATCTGTGGCAAATAATCTTTCTATAGTGTATTTAAGAAAAGAAGAGTTTAGAAAGCATTGTCTAATTTTCCTTTATACCACGAATAGAATATAAGGAAAAATCATTTAAAGACAGATGTTTGCCCTCAAAAGTAGAACCAAATTTCTTAACAATAAAGTTGAACATTTACCAATGTGGTGACATCAAAAAGCAAAATAATCAAAAATCATTAATGGATGGGGCCGGCCCCATGGCTTAGTGGTTAAGTGCACGCGCTCCGCTGCTGGCGGCCCGGGGTTCGGAGCCCGGGTGCGCACCGACACACCACTTCTCTGGCCATGCTGAGGCCGCGTCCCACATACAGCAACTAGAAGGATGTGCAGCTATGACATACGACTATCTACTGGGGCTTTGGGGGAAAAAAAAAATCATTAATGGAAAAACAATGATGTAATGAATAGTACTACCACTTTTAAGAAGTCATCTGAGAAAATGCACTAGAGTTAAGGATTTCATCAGACAGCATTTCCAGGTCAGGCGCTCAATGGGTGTATCACACAGGTACCCTTTTTCAATAGGAACGAGAAGTCTAGTTGGGCAACAATGCAGCTGCACGTCTAAGACGCAAACTGGTGGCAACCATCACAGCCTGGCTTCACTCAGTTATAACAGCTTTTATCAACAACATACAGACCCATAGTTTCCATAACTTGGAATTGCACACTAATTTTAAAGGTTTTGTTTACACAGATAGAAGACGCAGATTAAAAAAAAATTAAGATAGCTGGTATCTGACAGCAGCATGTCTCTTTGAGAAAAATCCAAGCCCCCACCCCCCAAAATCAATGTTTTTCATCACTCGCACCCACTTTTCAAAATCAATTAGGTAAAAATAATAGGCACTTCATTATAACACAGTCCCCAATATTATGTGCATTGAACTCTTGTTCTAACATTTAAAGAAAACTATTTTGGTTGATGTCTTCCTAGCTGCTACTGCACAGGCTGAAAAATAGGTTGCTGAAATCAATGGAGCAGCTTATTTTCTCTTAGAAAATGCAACCAAAAAAGTCTAATTCCTCTTCATTCATTTAAATTTGTGGGAGCCTTCTAAAAAATATATAATACAGGTAAATATTTCTCTTTTTCTTGAAGTTATTTCTTGTGAATATTTTGTATTTTTGGTCTATCACAAAATTGTTTTAAATTCTATTTTTGTTCTATGGAAGATGAGACTTTGGCCAGTTTTACATGCCGTGGAAATGGGGCCACTGGGTGGGACAATGGCATAGATTCCAGTAAGTGATAGACTGACAAGTAATGGATGAAACTGTCTTGGGTAGGAGAGAGTTTTGTTGACATTAATAAAATATCTGCAGCTTTATTTGGCATTGAGATCATAGTCGATGAATTTAGTCACAACAGTTTTTAAATTTTACACTAATAATATTAATAATAAAACTCGATTAGTTGTTAAAAGGTGTAAAACACAGGATAGGCCAAGCAGCACATAGTCTACAAAAGCTCTGTAGCTCCCTGAACTCAGGGCTGCTGCACACTAACTGCTCCAGGCTAAGAGGAAGAGTGGGGTCTGATGTGCAGCCCAGCACCCTTTGTTGTTAAGCTCCTTAGAGAGCATCTTTTTGTGAGGGGCACCAAGGCACAAGTGCACTAGCAGAGGCCTGGTGGGGGGCCCACTCTTTGTGTCTGTGTCTTGCATGTGCAGTTCCCGTGGCCTAGAATGCCCTCTTCCCTCATCTGTCTGGGAACTCTGACCTCTCCTTCTAGATCCTGTACAAGAGCCCCTTGGAATGAATTCCTGTTATCGCACTGGTTTCCCTGTGAACAGTGGCACACAGCATGGTTGGCTTCATTGGGACCGAGCCTGCCCTTTGGCCACCTTTCCCCAACTAAGCTGACCCTCCCACCTCCCCTGAGCACACGCATGCACACACAGGCACATACACAAACTTGTTTTTGCTTCCTTCAAAATACTTTCAAAGTTTTCAGGAAAAATTAAATTATGCTTCTGGCTAGAATTTCTATTTGAGCATTTTTCTGAGGGATTAGTATATACATTTAAATGTGTTTTACTCAAATTTCCATTCTAAAAATAACATTTCAAATAGCTCATTCAGGACTGCTCAGCTTATTTTATTTCCTTTGAAACACTATGTTGTGTTAGAATGGTTTTGAAAAATCATATTTTTAGTCATGTGAAAGAAAGCAAGGGGCTTGCCGGAAAATATGATTACTGGTTGATGGTAGATTACTTTAAACACTGGGCACAAGTTCTCTGGTGCTTGTTTTGTTCCCCTACAGGAACCTGGGGATCAGTGGGAGCCTCTCACTTTCACTAGAGTGAGTGCCAAGAGTCTGCTCTTTTCTTTTCCATCAGACTATCTGCGGCCTTTGACCTATCAATTTCTAGGCATTTCCTCTAAAGTTCATATTGTACCAGACTCCAGTCTGGGAAAGGGAAGGGAAAGGATATACAACTCCAGATTTATTTGTTATTACTGAATAGTTTACTGGTTTTAACAGAGGGAAAGGGCTTTGTTTAAATTTCCACTGAGCATAATTAATGGTTATTGACTGGTAAATGAAGAACAGGTGACACTCTGGATCAGAAGATAAATGAGCTTGTGTTCTGGTGTGATAATGGGTTAGTAATTTGCCACAAAGCCGAGGCCCAGTGCATCCCATCATCATGCCAGATCATGTCCAGGACACAAAGGCCCCTGTGTGAGAAGTACTAAGCCATTCGCCTCCTTATACATCTGCACACACTGATTTGGTCCATTTATTCTCTGACGGATGGCACAACTGAGGCAAAAGTTCACCACTTCTCACCTTCCTGTTCACATGCTGAAGATATGACCCATGACACGGCCAGGCCACAATCTGTGATCAAATCGCCACCCACCTTTGGCTTCTGACTATAGAAACAATTTTGAGGTTACATGTTTTAGATGTCAATCTTCTCTCTTTGTCTCTCAAGGAATGAAGGAGGAAAAAGACAGAGTCTTCCCACATTCTTTCAGTGTCCTTTAAGGATATGACTGACTTATCCACTTCCTCAGATACTTATTTACTTTCAGCCCTGCCCTGATCGCCAGTGCAAATGAAAAAATCTGCTTTTTAATCTATCTCACAGAGAGGAAAGACAATCAGCTAAGGATCGTACCAAGGCTTCATATTCCTCAAAATAAAAATGTCCCTTAACGGAAGTGAACAGTGCAGTTTTCAAACCATACCTCACATTCATTTTGCTTTTAAGGCACCTGAAGTTTAGAGGAAATCTGACTCCATACCATTGATATTTGAAGGCCAAGTCCAGGTGGTTATAAATATTAGTTAAATTTGGACATGTGCTTTCTTGTAACTATATAATTAACCTATCTGTTCTACAAATCTAATTTAGAGAAGTCAAAATAAAACTTCAATTGAAAAATTATCAAATAAAAATACTCCTCTCCCACTTTGGCATTCAAATCATGAATGCGGAAATGGGCAGTGAAGGGTCATTCCTCTTTCTTTGATTTGGTAGCTCTGGAGGGTGTTCACAGCTGGACCAGTGAAGGAGAACACCCAAAGTACATCACCACAGCTGACTAACTACACCTGATTCCATGCATGCCTTTTGGGGTGTGATGGATGTTTGTCTTAAAAATCTGGATTCTACAATTGCTTCCACCTCGCCATTAACCTTCAGTTCAGTATCCAAACCACAAACACTTATTAACTGAGCTGTCATCCATGAATAACAAGATTTGTTAATCAAGGTTATGTTTAACTATGTTTATTTGACTGCTACTTTTTCAGCCCTGTGTTTTTGTGCTTTATGGGCTTCTGTCATAAAAATAACCTTAAAACAGAACTATATATATATTTACTTCTGGGGAGAAAGTCTTTGAAATAATTCTAACAAAAATCATAGGAATCTGAACAAATGGAATTCCCAATAAAGGATGCCAAGCGTTGATCCATTCACATACATTTTGTCTTTAAGCTTTGTTCAGTAGCTGTTTTCACGATGACAGCCTGGTATTTACAGTTTGGGTCAGGACTTCAAGTAGTCCTGTGCTAGGCCAGGCCTTATGCTTTGTGGGACCCATGTAGGTAGGTCTGAGGGTCAGCTTGGGAGAGTACTTCCTACTCTGATGTAGTTGGACAGGTACCAAATGATTAACAAATAAAACTCTATCAAGAAAGCCATCTAGCATAAAACCCAAGGCCAGCCTTAAGGCCCACTCAA